TTTTTCCTTTTGTGTGTGTGTGAACTGGAGATTGAACTCAAGGCCTATTTCACTGAGCTATAACCCAGCCCTTACTTTTTGTTTTGAGACAGTCTTGCTAAATTGCTAGGATGCCCAAATTGAATTTCAACTTGTTATCCCTCTGCCTCAGCATTCCAGAATGCTGGGATTATAGGTGTGCACCATCATGCTCAGCTTGACAGAGTATTTAAAGGAATGATATACAGTAACAAAAATTAGAGGACAACTGGAATTAGGTTAGGTTCCCTCCAACCTCTACCATCTGAGGCAAAAAGTAGGGTGCTAAACAGCCTCTGAGATGGCCTCCAGCGATTCTTGCCTCCTGAGATGACATAATCCTCACCCAAAATAATAAATAATCAATAGGATTTGGAGAAATGACTGAGTGTGACTTCTGAGACTTCCATCTTGCTGTTTCTTGGATCATTCAGTCTGTGGGAAAGTAGTCACCATGCTGTCAGGGTTCCTCCAGTAGCCCTACAAAGAGGTCCATATGGTGAGGAACCAGAGCCAGCCTCAATCTGCCAGACACAGGAGTCTGAGTCACCCTGCAGGCGGGGCTGAAGCACCAGGCAAGCTTTCAGATGACAGTCTCAACTGATATCCTAATGTTACCCAAGGCAGAACCACTCAGCTAAACCAACTGTGCATTCCTAACACAATAAAACTGTTGCGATAACAAATGTTTCTATAAAAAGACAGGTACCATTTCAGACCTTTGTTTGAAGGCCTGATTCTTTTATTTTTTTCTGTCCAGTTTTCCTTCTGCTTCCTTCTCCCACCCTCAGGGCTAGAAATAAAGCCTCCTTTCCCAATTATAAGTAAAGCAACTAGAAGCCAAGCATTGTGGCACATGCCTGTAATTTTAACACTGAGAGAGGCTGAAGCAGGACTACAAATATGAGTCCTGCCTGGGCAATTTAGCAAGACCCTGTCTCAAAATTTAAAAAAATTAATAATAATAATGAAAAGGACTGTGGATGTAGCTCAATGGTAGAGTCCCCTCGGGTTTGATCCCAGTACCAAAAAAAAAAGAAAAGTAACTGAGCTCAAAAACTGGATGAGTCAATATGCTAAATTACTTTTTCACCTTTTATCCTTAATAATAAAGATAACAGGGCTGGGGATTTAGCTCATTGGTTCTGGCGCCTGCCTCGCAAGCATAAGGTCCCAAGTTCGATCCCCAGTACCAAAAAAAGAAAAAGAAAAAAAAAAATAATAATAAAGATAACATTTACTTCACGTCTTCCTGGACTTAACCTTAATGCAAAGTCATCTGAAATGTGACTTAAAATGCTTTTGATTTTAATAATGGTCTGCTACTACTTCTTTTGGAGGTGGAGGGAAGAGGGGCAGCTGGGTATGGAACCCAGGGCCCCTAACATGCTAGGCAAGTGTTCTACCACTGAGCTACCCCATGGCCCTGGTCTGCTTCCTAAAAAAGAAAGACTCCTATTATAAAGCTACTGTTGGGGCCAGGGATTTAGCTCAGTGGTTCCGCCACCTGGCTCAAAAGTGGAAGGACCCGAGTTCGATCCCCCGTACTAAAAAGAAAAAAAAAAAGCTACTGTTGTTTTCAATTTATCAAGATCAAGAAAAAACTAATTATCTCATCAGCTTGGCTACTTCAATGCTCACCAAACCAAGAATTACAGCCAACAGGACTTTAAGCTGAAACTCAGGCTGGCCATAAATTCAATTTCCTCTTCTATAAAAATGAATGCTCTCTTATTACGCTGTTCTGTAACATCCAACCATTTATCCTCTGGTTTCTGTACCAGTCCTGTCCCTAAATGTCACAGAACTATCTTCAGTTCTTGGTAGGACTTGAAGAGAATTACATCTCAGTTCTAGAGATGTCAGGAACAGTCCTAGTGACTTTAACTAGGAACACTACAGAAAGGCTCCAGCACAGCTGCCTCACCTTGTCACTACTGATACTTGGGAGCAAATAATTCTTTGTGCTGGAGCTGTACTTTGCATTTGTAGCATGTTGAGCAACGTCTCTGGGCTCTAGCCACTAGATGTCAGCAGTAGCCCCAACTCCCAGATAAGACCACCAAACAGGTCTCCAAATGATGCCAAATTATCCCCTGGGATAGAGACTTGCCCCTTGTTGAGAACCACGGGCTAGAAGACGTCCACTAGAAAAACAGAATCTCGGCATTCTCCGGACCCGGGGGCCAGAGCAGGGAGGACTAACATAAAAGAGTCTACAAAGGGAGCCAAAGGCTCAGGTTCCATCCTCCGTCTTGATCATTTCAAGCAGAATGCAGGCTACCCAACAACCACATATGCTCAAGCCTAAAACACCTCCACCGAGGATGGGGGACAGTCTACATCGCTGGTAGAGAAGACTCATTGGTCACTGCCAAGGCAAACCCAGGCAGCCTTGGCAATTCACTTGGAGATGATTTATAAACATACCTGGGTTCTGAAGGAGGGGACGGGGGTCCTCTTCTCTGTGATCTCACACCCACCTTCCTTTCTGCTTAAATTTCACTGGCCTCTCTGGCATATTTCCTAACGATCCAAGCCATTCCATCTTTACTCCCCTTACTCTTACACGCTCCTTACAGATCTCTCTTTAGAGGTTTCTATGTCATGAGTCGTCCCAGATCACAACCTGTTGGCATTTATTTACTTAAAAAGGTCTGCCCTGGCCTATAAACTACTTGAGGAATTCTTGTCAACATTTCCAGTTCCTATGAAGCGCCTGACGCGACAAATGTGATAGATGCCCAGTGAAGCGATGTCGAAGCAGACTATTCCTCGCCCAAGATTCAAGCACAGTCCCTAAGGACTCAAGGTTCCGTGCTCCACCCAAACCCTCACATATTCTCGGATCCTCGGGAACTGGCGTCTCTCCCAGCTCGGGGGCGAGAAGAGCTGCGCATTATGCAGGGAAGCTTCGCGGGGGAGGCTAGGGCGATGGCGACCGCGGCCGAGTCCGCTGAAGGATCTGAAAAACCAGGCCAGGCCTAAAAAAGGACCGCTCGAGGCGTCCTCGACCGAAAAACTCCGGCCAGGGACGGAGGTGGTAGACGCTGTGATCTCAGCGCCGACCTCTGGGTCCCACGGGCACAGCCAAAAGAAGCCAAAGCCTCGGGAGGCCAGGAACCGGGACTCCAAGCTACAACCACAGTGAACCGAAGCACCTGGACGTTGAGGGGCGCAACCCAGAGGCTATGGGCCTAGGACGCCATTTTGTGACCACAGAGGGCAGTAACTCGCGTGCTGGGGGCGGTGTGGGCAAGCCCGGCATAGCCCCAGCACGTTCCTGTCTTGTTCCCACCCAAAGCGACCTCAACCCTGTGGGCCTACCTGTGTAGCTCATGGCGGCGGCGACGACACTACATCCGAGAACCGTGACAGCTGCTCTCCGCGTCCAACGCCGCGACAGCGGCAACAATCCTCAACCCCTTCTACCCCAACATTTCCCCCAGCCCCGCCTCTCGACCGCATTGGCTCGCTGCAGTCACTGACTTCGTGCTCATTGGGCTGCCTCGGTGTCTATCTGTACATTCCTCGTACTAGTGACCGAGTATGCTGCCAATCATTAGGGCCCCGCCCTACAACCGCCTTCCGTTTCCAAAACCTGGGTTGATTGGCTACAATGAACCGGCGCAGAGGCGGATTCTTGCAGGTTCGAAGGCACTACGGAAAGGCCCGAGGCCCAAGTGTGGCTGTGCGGGAGGAATCCCGGTGTCCTGGAGACTTGCCTGAGGGAGTCGACAATACAACGCAGAGGACCGCTCAGGTTTCCAGCTGTGCCACAGAAATACTAAACAAACTTGGGCTGAGTTTCTATATTTCTCTGGTCTTCAGCTCCAAAACGACCGTGGTATGAGAAAATTAAAGTGACACACGTTCAAACATTACATAAGATAATATACGTGATCACTCTGGTGCCAGATGCACTGTTACATTTTCTCATTACTGTATTACATAATGAATAATCAGTGTATCTGTAGGGACTGAGGGTTTAGCTCAGTGGTAACGCGCTTGCCAGGCAGGTATGAGGGCCCAGATTTCTTAGCACAGCAAAATAATTAATTAATTAATTAATTCAATGAATGTGTGTATGTATATGGTATGTTTTTGTTATATATGTAATAAATCTATTTGTATTATGTCTCATCTCAAATGTTCCCTCAAACCTAAGAAAGTTTTTCAAAGTCCCCCATTTAAAAGATAACAGCCAGGCGTGGTGACACACTCCTGTGATCCCAGCACTCAGGAGGCTAAGGCAAGAGGACTGCCGCGAGTTGGAGGCCAGACTAAATTACAAAGTGAGACCCTGTCTCTAAATAAATAAAAAGGAAGATAAAGCTGAGGCTTGGAATTCATGATTTGCTCAAGTGTCTTAACACCTGTTAATGGACCTCTCTTCTAAAACCCTCCTGGTTTGTTCTGGATTTCAGAGACCCTAGAATTGTGCAGTCAGGGCTGAGGACTCAGTGGCAGTGCCCTTGTCTAGCATGTGTGAGGACTTGGGTTGGACCCTCAGCACCAGAAAAAACCAAAACTAAACAAAATTCAGTGCTCAGTGCAGCCTAGTGCCAGCCTTCTCCAAAGCTTCTCAGAATTGTGGATGCCATTGTCAGGGACATCTCATAATTTCTAAGAGAAGACTTGACTGAAGATGGCACTTAACATGTTTGCAAAAATGGATTAGGCTGTGGAAATAAGACTAGTGCACTGTTTTCTATGTTTTAAAAAAATTTTTTGTTTTTTTGAGACAGGGTCTTACTACGTAGTCCAGGCTGGCCTCAGCTTCCCAAGTGCTGAAAAATGACAGACACATGCCACCAGGCCAGCCTAAAATGTTTTAAATATGTTGTTGCTTTTTGGTTATAAGGAATGACTGTTGTTTTCTTTTTATAATACTGGGGCTTAAAACAACGGCCCTTGCACTGAGTTACAGTCCCAGCTTTTTTTTTTTTTTCTTTTCCATTTTGATACAAGGCCTTGCTAAATTGCCCAGGTTGGGCTCAAACTTTTGATCCCCTTACCTTGGCCTCTGAGTGCAGGGGTTACAGGTGTGAGCCATCATGCCTGCTGATCATCAATTTCTTTAGGTGTAACAACGGCATTTTTGTTTTGGGTTTTATTTTTTGGTGGGGGGGGGGGGATCGAACTCAGGACCTTGTGCTTTCGAGGCAGGGATGGTACCACTTAACTAAATCCCTGGCCATTTTGTTTTGCTTTTGAGATAAGGTCTTGCTATGTAGTCAAGGTTGGCCTTGAACTATGTACAGTAGTCCAAGCTGGCCTCGAACTTGTGATTCTCTGGTCTCAGCCTCTCAAGTGCAAGGATTATAGCCATACATCACCACGCCTGGCTGTAATGGCATTTTAAATAGTCCATATCTTAGCCAGTGCTGTGGCACACGCCTATGATCCCAGCACTGAAGGAAGCTGAGACAGGAAGATCACAAGTCTGAGTCCCACCTGGGCAACTTAATGAGACCTTGTCTCAATGAAAGGGGATGTAGCTAAGTGGTACAGCTAGATCTAAATTCCAATACTGTAAAATAAATAATCCACACCCTCCAGAGAAACAATAAAATACTGAGATGAGTTGATCTGATGCCAGGATATGCTTAACCATACATAACAAAGCCACTCAATAATGCATTAAATGAAAAACTCCACATAGGAAGTACAAAGAACTGATGCATTTTACAGCTTTGGGGTACAACTAACTTCATGTCACCCTCAGAGATTCATTCGTGCCTGGTTTCCAAACTAAGGCAGGGACCTGGGACACCTCTCCTGGATCCTACAGCTTCATTTATGGCACTGCCACAGTCATCATTTCACCCTGCAGGTTTCAGCTAACACCCAACAACCTTCACAGGCAGAGGACAAGCAGCTCAAAAGGCTGAGACAATAGAATGGCTTAAGCAGAAAGGCTGTGCTCAGAAGTTGTTGAAGATCCCTCTATGCTAAGAACAGTGGGGGACTTTTGTAAGGACACACAGCCGTAAGTGTATGATGGTGGGTGGGGAGGTGTACCCCACGATGCAAGTTCTCTTTATCATTTGAACTTTTTTATATCCACCCTGTTTATAAATACTGGATTTATAAAAATTTGAAAGTTTAGGTCAGCTGTCATCGCATGAGATGAGCCTCCTGCTCCTTAAGTCTCAGCTGTACCTACAGAGTAGGATGGCAAGCGCTGAGCAAGCAGGCCAAGACCACCCTTGTGGGCACATTAGTGCTGCCTGTTAATCCCTCCTTCTCAGACAGAGGCACCAGGGGGATCAAGGAAAAACAGGGGGGGGTAGAGGAGGTCCCTGCGGTCCACACCCCGGAAGTCATTCCCACTTTCCAGCATCTAGCCATTTAGTGAAGAGTAGCTGGCAACCACATTCAATAAACAAGGAGCAGCAGCCAACAAAATCATTTACAATCTCAGAAATGTTCAATAAACATGTGCAGAGGGAGAAAACAACACAGCACAGGACTCAGCAGCTCCTCTTTTTCCCCTCGTTACTTGGGATCAGGCTGTGCGTGTCTCATAGAAGTCAGGTATCTTGGGGCTAGAGGTGTAGCTTAGTGGTTGGGTGCCTGCCTAGTATGTCAGATGGTCTTGGAAGATCCCCCCGACCCCCTGCCCAGGACCACACAAAACAAAAACTTATTTTTGAGACAGGATCTGACTGTAGCCCAGGGTGGCCTCACAATCACAGGCACTCCTCCTGCCTCAGCCTCCTGAGAACTGGGATCACAGGTGTGCATCACCACACCCAGCTTGAGTCATGTCTTGCTGGGTGGCTCTCAGCTCTCTGCACCCTGACCAGCAACGCCCCCACCCATACTTCCCACAAGTATATGCTTCCCCCACGCACATACACACCACACCATGCCTGCCTTTTGGAAAGCTTTCCTAATCTCAATGGTTTCTTGATCTTGACTTCCTTCCCAGCACAGCCACCCAGAGTCTTGGTTTCTCTGCTCCCAGAGCCGCTTCCCCAGCCAACCAGAGCCACCCACCAGCCACAGTGTTGAGGGCCAACACCTGAAAACTTGGGCTCAACCCCAGCTGTATCTCGTTGATGTGGCGGCCAGTGGGAGAAACTCAGCAACTCTTGGGGCTCTGGGCAGTGGAGGAGCCCCCAATCCCAGTCTTGGCTGCAGCCCATGCCAGCCTGTCCATTTGACAGAATAAAACGCTGGCCACCTGCCCCAGGGTGTTTCCAGAAGAGAAATTTAATCTAATTTACATACTTCTAGATACATCGATAACCAAAACGTGGCCACTGAAAAAAGTTAAAAGATCAATCAGCTCCCAGTATCTAGCTGGCCTAGGATTGCAAAATAAAAAGATCCACGTTCCTTCTTCTCTACACAAACCGCGTTTTTAAAAAAGTGAAAGGTCTAGGGAGCTATACATAGAAAGCAACAGTGAAAAGGGGAGGGAGGCAAGGGTGGGGGAGGAGAGTGCGGCCCCCCCACCCTAGCCTCCTGGCCGCAGAGCCCCTGAGGCTCCGGGGGGCCTTGACATGGCAGGAGGCAGCTGTCAGCTCTGAGCTCTTCCCAGCTAGGAAGGCCCCTTTGGGGGGCAGCCAACAAGGATATCCGTGGCATTGTGGGCTCAGTTGGGGCTCCCAGGCCCAGCAGGCCCACAGAGGGAGCAAGGCTTCCCCTGAGCAAGCACCGTGGCGTGATGTGGTTGTTCGACTCGGGAACTGGGGGGCTAGGGCAGATCCCGGGCCTCAGGAGGTGCATGTGTGTGTATGTTTGCATGTGTGTGTATGTTTGCATGTGTGTGTATGAGACAATATGCATGGAGGCAAGAGGGAACCAGAACAGGGGTCTTTGGGGTCTCTGCAAATGGCCACGGATGGCAGACATAGCCCTGCCTGGCTGCTAGACACAGAGGGGTGCTGTGCTCCTGTGACCAGATCAGCTGCCACCAGGGACTTGGCTGCAGCTCCTGCTGGACCGGGGAGCATGGACTGCAGGAAGACACCCTGGGGCTCCAGAGTCCTTGGGCTGGGGGAAGGGTGACTAGCTGGCTCCCGGCACCCCAGCTGTAGTGTGCCCGGCCCCTATGAGGTGCCGGTTTGAGGTTTTGGCTTGCTCCTTTGGAAACGGAAAATAAAGCGGAAAGAGAGGGAAGAGGACACAGAGGAGAAACAGGAGACAGAGGTGGCACGAGGATAGATCTGGAATGCTTCTGTGTTAGGGTGCCTCTGCTGAAGCTGTCTGTGCCTGCGGGGCCGGGAGCTCCTCAGGCAGGGGATCCGCTTTAGAGAAATTCATCTCCAGGATGTGCCGCTGTAAGTGCCGTACCCACTCTTCCTGGATGGAGAGGGGACCCTGGAACTCCACTTCACAGAACCTGTGTCAGGAGAGAGACAGAGAGGCGCCACTGCTGTGGAGATGAGCATGCCCAGGATTTAAGGGAAGAGGGGTACAGAAAAAAGCCAGGTATCTCTGTGGGC